CGCTGGGATAGACGCGTGAGGCGACAGCGTTTCATGCATTTTCCTGGGCTGTCAATGTCTCTAATCCTGGGTCGAGACTTTCTCGCCAAGTCGGGTATTGTGATTGACATTGCAAATGGCGGTTACCGCGAGCATGACGGAGACGCGCTAAAGCTTTTCTCAAAGGCCCCCGCATTGACAAAAGCATGCCAATCGCAGGGAGAGGTGTGAGTACGCGAGAAGGAAAGCGCGCCAAGAAAGCCAGTAACCACCGCACCCGAACAATGTGCTGCGCTGCAGGGAAGGGTAGTGCACCCGCTATTAGTAGAGGCACAGAGCCTGCGTGAAGGGGAACGAGCGCAGCTGTCGTCGCTGTTGTACGAGTATAACGTGATGTTTACTGACCGTCCCAGCCGCACTACGCTGGTCAAGCATAGAATTGACATGGGTGATGCACGACCTTGCAAATGCAACCCCGACCGATCAGCTTGGCTAAGCGGAAAGCACTTGACGCCGCCTTAGACGAACTCATCGACACAGGCGTAGTTGAGAGGTCAAACAGCCCATGGGGTTTCCCAGTAGTTCTAGTTCCAAAGAAAGATTATACGTATCGCCTTTGTATAGACTACCGCAGGCTGAATGAGGTTACGAAGAAGGAGGCGTACCCCCTTCCCTCCAATTTATCGCTAGTATCCAACCTAGGTGGGGCGATGTACTTCACTACGCTTGATGCTAGCCGTGGATATTTTCAGGTTGAGATGGAGGAGCGAGATAAAGAGAAGTCAGCTTTCACGTGCCACAGAGGACTTTACCAATTCAGGAGAATGTCTTTCGGCTTGGTGGGCGCTTCCCCCTACGTGTCAGAGGCTAATTGACCGTGCTTTGGGAGATGCAAAATGGCAGCACGCACTCACATATCTAGACGAGATAGTGGTTTACTTGAAAACGTTCGATGAGCACTTGCGCCACTTGAGAGACGTTCTAGAAAGGTTGAGGTCTGCGGGCATCACTCTGAACCCAAACAAAGCTCAGATAGCGGCGACCCTAATAACATTATTGGGATTTGCGCTTGACGAGGGTCGCATTTTACCGGATAAGGGTAAGCTTGAAGCGATAGCTATCCATCGTCGAATAATATCGGTGGGCTCAAGCACTTTCTAGAGATGGTGAATTTTTATAGCCAATTCATTCCATATTTCGCGGCAGTGCAGGTGCCTTTGACGAAAATCTTGAGGAAAGGCGAGCGTTGGGCTTGGAGCCAAGAGCAGGAAGCCGCATTGCGTCGCCTCACGAAGTTGCTGTCCAACACTGCTCAGCTGCAGCTACCCGATTTGAACAGAGTTTGTGATTCACACAGATGCAAGCGACCTGTGCTTAGGAGCAATTCTGCTTCAGGAGCATGGAGGTTCCCTCCGATCGATTGCATTCGCGAGCCGTACGTTGACGCCGGCGGAGAGGATTTACTCGGTAACCGAGAAAGAGTGTCTGGCGATAGTTTTTTGCTTTCCGTAAGCCTGACTTTTACATCGATTTACTCGGTAACTGAGAAAGAGTGTCTGGCGATAGTTTTTTGCTCTCCGTAAGCCTGACTTTTACATCGACGGAGTTGCGTTTGTGATTGAGACTGACCACATGGCACTCACGTGATTGAGGCGCTTGAACGAACCAAGTGACCGCCTGGCGCGTTGGGCATTGCTGCTGCAGCATTACAACTTCTGTTCGCTACCACAAGGGTAAGAACAATGCCGCGGCAAATGCACTATCGCGTGCTCTAGTCGGACACGAGGCAAGTCACGCGACTAATTCGGAACGAACTGAGAGCGAGACACTCGTGCCAACGCAAACAGCGGAGCAAACGTTACTTCGAGGTAAGAACGTGAACCACGTAGAGGCTGTCGTTAGCGCAGGGATTGTTTTCAGCAGACGGGAACTGTTATAAGCTCAGCAGAAAGATCCATTTTGTCAAAAGGTGTTCGACGGGCTCTGGGAGACAGGTGGTAGTGAGGCCCCCGCACAAGGGGGCAGCTGGTATTTCTGTCGGTGCGGAGCGCTCGGCAACAGCTGGTAGTGCTGTGAGCGCACTGGATTCATATCTGCTCGATTCTGACGGCGTCCTGCTGAGGTACATCCCATTCGACGATGACACAAGTAAGTCATTCAAAGTTGTGATACCGCGCACATCGAGGGGAGCACTTCTTCCCTACTTTCATGACGCGTGCATTGCTCGGCATGCAAGCGGCCCCACGACTTACGCTAAGTTGTGTAGCCTCGGTACCTGGCCAGGTTTGAAGCGCGACGTGATTCGCTACGCCCGTTCATGTCGGGTGTGCCAAAGCGTCAAGCCACGAGGCGGACGTCCGCCCGGCCTCATGCAACCGATTAACAGTCAAGACTCCCTGGCAAATCGCGGCATGTGGCGTAATGGGCCCGCACCCTACAACTCCTAGCAGAAACAAGTTCTTGCTGGTGATCACGGATCACTTCACTAAATGAGCAAAACTTTTTTCTGCTAGGCAGTTAACGGCTCGAGTGATTTTAGAAAAGTTGATGGAGGTTTTCACCAGGTTCGGGTTCCCTGAGCAGCTGATTACAGACAGCGCGTCTTATTTCACTGCGAAGGTGTTTGTTGACACGTGCGCCACGTTGGGCATTAAGCACAAGAAAACAACCACCTACCATGCTCAATCGAACCCCAAGGAGCGAGTCAACCGCAACATCAAGCACATGCTTGTTGCGTTCTCCGAGAGACATAAGGACTGGAATACCTACCTTCCAGAGATCGGTTTTGCATTGCGATCGACTGTGAACCGATCGACTGGGTATGCGCCTTCTTCTCTGAACCTGGGGAGAGAACTGCCGAATCTGATGGAGACCGTACTTGCGGATCACGGTGGAGTACCAGTGGCGACATGAGCACGCGCTGAATACGCAATGCAGCTGCGCGAAAAGCTAGCGGAAGCTTTACATGACGCTTAGAATAATCTCAGCACTGCTAGGGCACAGCAGAAGGCGCCGTATGACCGTACGCATTGGAACGTACACTATGAAGTGGGCGATCTGGTGCTGCGGCGCCATCATGTTCTCAGCGATGCTAGTAAACAGTTTGCTGCCTCGCTGGCACCAAAATGGTCTGGGCCGTACTGAGTGCGAGAGAAAGTTTCATCGCTCGTTTATTGGCTCGCGAACATGAAAGGTAAACCGAGAGGCGGACCGGTGCATGTATGTGACTTGAAACGCTACGTGGCACGGGAGGAGCATGAGGACTACGGTCAGTCTCCCTCCAAGCCACGCGTAGCGAGTGATATCGCTCGAGACCGAGTGAGGAGCCCAGACACCGAGTGAGGAGCCTTTCCCAGTGCGCAAAACGGGTTTCCCCTCCCTCAGTGAGAAAAGATATTATTCTTGTCAAGGAGAGGGAAACCGGGGCAGGGGACAAAACTGGCGTGGAAACGGCCACACGCTCTCTCTGACACCAACCAGAAACCAAGGAGGCCTGACCCGCAACCCCCCTACGAGCCGAGGACGTCAACGACCAAGGAGTAAGCGTCTACCCTTGTTTTCTGTACTTTCTCCTCGCGACATTTGCGCGCTATTGCTAATGCCTAGCAATAAAGTGTCGTTATGTAGACCTAGCCTGTTGCCTTATTCGACCGAACCCGTGTAGCTGCAGTGAGATGAGCTAGGGTTAGGGGATGTTAATCGTGCACGGTACGATTGTGTGCGGCTGAGGCTTTAGTTGGGCTTCTGCGTCAGCCGTACATAGGACAGACCCCCTACAACTCATGGACATATTACCTATGTATGTGTCTGAGGACCACCGGGATTAGGGCTCCACGTTACCATTCATGACATTTGCCAATAATTCGTCGCGTCACGACATTACTAGTTATTCTCCATTTTATCTGTTGTATGGATGCGACCCACTCTTGCTTGTCGACTCACTACTTCCTTCTAAGAAAAACTAGATCACATTCTCAATCACAATGCAATCGTTCAAGCGGCGATGGCACGTCATGTTGCCCATGTTCAACTCTCAGCACCTCAGGCCAACCAAAGGCACCATTATGACAGTCCCCACTGCAAACGCAAGTATCAGCCCTGGCTCTTCGGTCCTGCTTTGGCCGTCTTCCCATCACGTTGGCTTGAATCAAAAGCTCCTGCCACGCTACGTCAGACCTAACCCAAGTTCTTCACCGAGTTACCGAAAACACATACGAGATCTTGCCGCTAATCCTCAAGTCTTCTCCCACCTCACCAGCTACTGAGACTGTGCATGTTTCCCAACTGAAGCCCTACGTACATCACGTTCACCGATCCAATGCACCGAGACAGTGTTTCTGCCACAGGAGTTAATGTTATGTAGGTGTTGGTGCCAGTGTTGACTAGAGGACACTACTAGCCATAGAAGAGGTAGAAGTGTCTCGGGCTCAGAACCAATTGTGAATTGTGCGGCACTTGCATTACGGCGCCTGCAACAGCAACACTATGCGCATCAATATGAAACACTGCTCCAAAATATTTTCGACAACCTGGTGTGTGCACCGACAGCACGCAGTACATGCACCTCTACCATTTCACCCCCATCAAAACAATCGCCATGGCTGGGATCGAACCTGCGACCTGCAGGTCAGAAGTCGAGCACCAGTACCACTGATCTGCTGCACCAGACACAGCGTTTTTTTTTCGAAATTATCCCAACAGAAGTCAACACCAGAATTTTCAATTAGAAACACAGACATCCACTGAAGACGCACAAAACGGCAGAAAAGAAAGGAAGCACGAAAACTTATTTGTGCATGCCAACCATTGCTTAGCTTGCATAAAGATGAAACACCTCGAGAATTCGTCTTTCACACTGACCACCATGCTAGCAGGACTGACAGGTTTGTCTAAGGGGCACACAGAAATTAATCTTCGTGCCTTCTTTTTTTTTATGCCTAACATTCACGTGTGCAGACAAACGATCACAGCCAAGAGGATCGTAGTGAGAGCTCCCAAGCAGTCAATCAAAGAGGGCTTACCAACTTGATGATTTTGATCAGCATCCAGTTATTTGTGGAGCTGGTCATCAGCTTGAAAAAGACCGGTGCCAGTGAGAGGTAGTTTTTTGGGTTTTTTCGTGCCAGCTCACAAATGACATTCACCGACGCAGACTGCACCCCTGCATTCAAGGTGGCCACGACATTTAGTAAAAGAACTACTAGAAACTAATGCGGTGAATGATCCTCTCAGCTAAGACGTAAACACACTGCTTGCGTGAATATTTGAGTGCTTTGAATATTAAAAGAAATATAACAGTAATCAAGTTATCCTCAATTCGAAATTGTTATTGGAAATTTAGAGGTATTCAAAATGAATAATCATGAGTGAGTCAAGTTAAAGCTGCAATTTCACTAATAAATGTTCAACATAGCATAACTTTTGTTCTAATGTGTTCAGAACATCCAATTTTGTTGCACTGCCCACAGTTTTGATTGCCAATTATTCTGATACAGTCAGTAGTGGGTATGCCTTCTAGCATTTTGGAGCAGCCATTAGAGCAGGTAAAATCTGCTGTTCGAGCAGCTAACTATGTGTTTGGAGCATGCTCGGGCTTTCCATGTCACGCACAAAAGAAAATTTAGCTTTGATGTAGTTAAATTTTCCCTCAGTTTACATATTCATTTATACAGAAGCAGCAATCCCACAAAATAAGGACAAAAAATAAGCAATAATAAGAATATGTAGAGAAGGGGTCACATAAAATAGTGAAGGATATTGCACCAACAAGCTATACCTGCAGTATGAAGTTCATAGCAGCGGGCACACACGCACATACAAAGCTCGTTACAGTAAAACCTTGTTAGTACGGACATACATGCCGTGAACCTGCTGGGAAAGCAGCTAACTATACACATTAAACATGGTATGTATTAACAACCAAGTACATAAGCATGCGCAGTGTTCTCCTTGAGAGGGTGGGACGAAGGTTTGTCGCAGCACCCCCTTGCGTATTATGTCAATATATGGGGCTTCTTTGCCTCCTGCCCACCTGTGTGCACGCCTATGATCAAGTACAGATTTACACTTCTTTACGTGCGCCATTGTCGCTAAAGTGGGATTAAATACATTGCCACAGCAAGTATTACCTAAAGTGCCCACCACAAAGCCATTTCTTTCTGTTTGGCGAATTTCAGAAATGATTAGCACTCTCGCACGGTCGTCCGATGGCGTGCGGTGGCAACATCAAGGAACCCTTCGAAAGTATGCGCAGCTGACGCAGCGACTGCCATAGCGACCAAATGAACATAAGCGGCTGTCCGCCACAAATGTGTATCGCGATATGCTACTTAGCGAAAACCGACACAGCTTTTTTTGAGACACGGCACTGTCGCTGGGAGCCAATTGTCTAATGGCTAGTTGCGTGCATCGCTTCGCCTACTTGGTGTACACACAGTGTGAAGCCCCTTGCACCCGCTACACTTCAGACCGCGCACAGAAACGGCTAGAAAGCTATTACATTAACGTGATGATGCGAGCTTTCTGCAAGCAATGCTCTAGTGGTCATGGCAGCGAACTGAGGCTCGTTTGGGTTGTCACGTTACGAAATTGCACAGCATGGTTATAAAAGCGCTTTTCTTGCCGTCTCAATGCCCGCGATCCACAACGCTTAACTCTGCAACAGCGAGCTACTTTTGTTTCTGCAAAGCGGTGCACACTGAACACGGTCCCATACACAGATTGAGGCGGCAGCGTTCAGCACCCCTGCGCGCTTAGGCAGTCACCCGCGATTAATAACGTGCAGTCAGCTTACAGTGGTGCTATATCGCACACGTAGGGTTTTTATCGGCGATGACTTGTGCGCTTTTCGGTGGTTGCAACATCGCCTTCATTTTTTGCCAGTGGTTAACAAAAAAGGCACTACCGCAATCACGCTGAAGTGGGAATAATTGATCGGATCATTCCGTGCTCAAGCAGATGAGCAACACAAACTAGACTCTAACTGTTCGAAATTTTAGCAGTGCATGTGTACGAGATCGCGACTATCACGTAATATTCGCTCATATGTCTGCTGTCAACATTACTTTCGGTTCCAGAACCAGCTTGTGGCGCATCAATGGCGCAAATCGGACAAAAAAGACTTTTCTGAAGTCGATTGGCGCAGTTTTCCCACCACTGATTTACTTTCCAACTCAAAGTTTAGCCTCCCAAAAGGCACATGAAATATTCTGTATTTTAAAAAGTACACACTATATAGTCAAACCCACTATATAACAGTACCGGTTTTGAAAATACTATATCGATTACAGTTGAACCCATTTAAAATGATGCCAGATATAAAGATCTATTGGTCATTGTGATGTGATTGTGCGCATTTGAAAAGTGCGCCCCGCAATCAGCCTGAACCAAAGAGGACGATGAAGATGATGCTCGGTGGCGGCACGAGTGGGCGTGAACATTTTAAGCGAACAAGGTGCCTCCACAAAGATTTAGGAGAGCCACGGGACAAGAACAGTAAAGACAGGCAGATGCGGCAGAGTCGGGACCGAGTGAAGAAGGTGGCCAGGGCGCGGGAGTGGCGGCCAGCAGAGCTCCTGCATCAAAGTTCCAGCGGGCTCCCACCAGGACACAAAGCTTCTTCTTGTCGCCTGACGTGGGCCAGGCTTGTTCTGGTCTTCTGGCATTGGCCAAGAAACGTTTCCGGCTTCGTGTGCGAGCTGCGGCTGCCAGCTAGTTGAGGTCACTGACCTCAACTAGCCCGACGCTTTCCTCCCTTTAAGGCAACGATGTTGGCGTCTTTCAACCTATTAGCCAAACTTCCCCTGCTGCATGAGTGCGTCTTCGCCGTTACTCCGTCGCATCAGCTGCAAGGAACACATCCCGGTGTATGGTGATATGGGTTTGCTCCTGTGACCATTTATTTCCGCGCACTCCTCACATCTTTTAGCCATCTATTGTTTCTGTTAAGCTCCTACTTTTGCATGCTCTATTCTTTGTCTGTTGTTTACTCTCTTTTGGCAGTTTCGTAAATATATTGAATGTTGGGGACTTGGGTGGAAGCAAATGGTCTCGTCAGCTCATTTCCCGATAACGGTTATGTCATCGGTTTTATGTTTACATGAACCTACATGAGAGCTTGCCCGTCAAACAGCCTCGTGACAGTCATAACGACCATATTTCGGTGAACTTACGATTTTTCTATGCTACCCATAGAAATTGTGTCCACATATAGCGAACATTTTTGGAAGCATTGTACTATTACAATGACCACTTCCGACATGGTCGCGGTAAAAATATGGCGCATACAAAGCGAAAAAGAAAAGTTAGAACAGGCATTTTAAAGGGCCCGTAAACCACTTCTGATATTTTATTTTTTTAAACATTTCAAGTAAGCGTATGCTGCATAGTGTGCAGAATGCCGTCGCGATCAACGATGGCAGCTCTGCGAGCCGCTGGCACACCACAAATTCCAAAAAACAATCCCTCCTTCTTTCTGGGCCTTTCAGGCCTCTGCACGACGCACTGCGCCAAATCTCTGACACGCCGAGCCAAACATGCTGTGATACGTCGAGCAGGAACCTACGACTTCCAGTCAGTCTGCAAGCAACTATCCACGCTGCTTGTTGTTCTTCGTCGTGTTTCTAGCATGCGTGCAACACGTATAGGGCACAGCGTGTCCCTGTACAGGTCCTTCGCATAGGTGATTTTTTGAAGGTGTGCACTTACCACAGGGTCCATATCGGCACGATTACGACTGCCACGGTTCACCAAAAAGCACGCAGATACAACGCAACTGATGGAGTAGACGGCCAGTCATGCATAAATTCTCCACCACATACTGGGGTTTATGGGCCCCTTAAAGCATGTGAGAGGCACGCACTCACGCATGCCTTGCTGCAGTTTACTTGCGACAAAAATATCAGACTGTGGGAGCACCACACACAGATTTCAGATGCTACAAGCGAGATTGCTCACTTTCCAGGCATTTCTTCACTGGCAGAATGACAGTAAAGAAAAAAAGAACAAGGAGGCAGCATAAGACTTGCAGTCAGTTTTCGCACAGCAAACTTTTCTGATGCCATTCTGTGCACCTATGACCACCAATGACTGACAAAACAATGCCTTCAAATGCAAGAAGCGATAACTTTTTCCTGTGTAAAAGTTCACTGTGATGCAAAGCTCGCTATGTGCCGCAAGAGGTCTTCCGCCATTCAGTAATGGCAGAGAATGGTAGATAAATGACAATATATTCCACGTGGCTGCAGTGGTGTCTTAATGGATAAGCATCAGAAAAGAGTGATGGTGAGGTGGCCTGTGGCAATGAATGTGCAATTTTGACTCATCACGGACAGCCTTATCACAGCAATCTACATACATCTGCTCAACTGCGTGTACGTGTTTAGGCTGCCCGGAGTGGCGGTGGAACAAGCGTGTCATGCTGCCATTCGCCGCAGGTGAGGTCACTTGTGCTTCACAGGCTAGTCGCTGCACCAGAGTGCAAAGAACCCACAAACGCGCGCATACATTAGATTGCAAACGGCCCGGCACGCAATGACGAAAGCAGAGTAGGCAACTTGCTGTACACAACTAGCCAGGGATTATTGGTTGCGGTATCACGCTTCAGTGGAATAGCGGGAGTTTGTCACAAACATGATTTAATTCACTCGTGAGCACACAGCAAGTCGCTTAACATGCAAAAAGGCCTAACCTGTCACTGGAGGGGTTCTTAGCACTTTTTAATAAAGACACGCAAAAAGAAATAAGGGTTTGATCACTAAGTACATGTATTTAAAGGCGAGTCTATATACAACGAATCACTGATAAAACGACGACTTATTGTGCCATTTTCGAGTTCCGTTATAAATGAGTGTGACTGTGTAATAATGAAATGCTGCTGCAACAAGAGCAATGTATGTTATAGCAATGCCTACATGCCACATTATTAGTTGTGAAACGGGGTTTATTGGCGTAAGTAGTACTTGCACAGCAGGTCTATCGATATGGAAAGTGGGAGGCAGCAACGGACACAGGAATCACAGCGCTCAAGGCAACAGCTCGTGCTCGGCTCCTCTCGCTAGGGATTCCTCTCGCTAGGTGTGCCAAGGGTTTCCGTTAAAGCGCTGCTGGGTTGCTGGAAATGGCGTCATTGCTACTCGTACAGGCTGGGGAGGCGGCCCAAGCAGAGGTCGTGGCAGAGTAGCAGCAACAGCAGCGAAAGTCAATGGCACGGTGACAGGTGTCCGAGAGACGGAGGGCAGTGCCTCAGAGACCTGTGCCTGTATTACCTGCCTGACGCTCAGAAGAGGGTTGATTCCGTTGCCGGTAGATACGACAGGCACGAAAGTTGTCAGGCCACCTCCTCGCGCACATATCGTTTGATATCCGACATTATCGTGTTCTGGTCTCCACCGATGGTCAATACCGCGAGAGTTTTGTCGGTAGCCGCTGGCAGCCGTTTCATGACCCGTTGTTTGCGCAACTCCTCGAAGTTCTGGCAAAGAGTGGCAAGTTCGGACACAGTACGTGGGCCCTTGGCCAGCTGTATCTGGAAGGCGTCATGTATACCCTTCAAGATGTGTTTGATCTTGTCTGCTTCTATTATTGAAGGGTCAAGACGAGCACATCCTTGATGCAGCTTGTGAAGCCTTCCCCGTGAAGCTGTGCGCGTCTCCGTAGGCGCTGTTCGGCACGAAGCTTGCGCATCTCGGGGCGACCAAACACATCGGTAATGCGTAGCTTAAAAGCACCCCAAGTGGCGAATTCCGAGTGGTGGTTGTTAAACTAGAGACTCGCTACTTCTTTCAGGTAGAAGGGTACATATTGCAGCTTCAAAGGGTTGTCCCACTTGTTGCTTGCGCCTATCTTTTCAAATGTCGATAGCCAATCTTCTACGCCTTCCTCATCGGTACCACCGAAAAAAGGTGGATAGCGCACGTGTAGCGCAGTGGGCACAATGACCATCGGAGGCTGGGTCGTACCTAGGTGGGTGTTTTCTTCAGCCATTTCTGGGATGGCAGGTAGTTTCCTGTGGCGGAGTTCCAGGTTGAGTTACCCAGCACCTCCACCACTCTGAAACGGAGTTTATTGGCGTAAGTAGTACTTGCACAGCAGGTCTATTGGTACGGAAAGCGGGCGGCAGCCACCGACCCAGGAATCACAGCGCTCGGGACAACAGCTTGCACTTGGCTCCTCTCTCGTTAAAGGCATGACCAACTGCGGCACATAATCTTCTTCCTCTCTACAGTTGAAAAAATTAATTCAGGCTCTTGGGCATCCATGTGACAAGGTAATGGCACACAAAATAGTGGGGGAAAAAAAGAAGAAAGTTGAAATTAAAGCTACTGCTCCCCGCCCAGAAACCCAATGCCTTCAGTAGCATTAGGGCAAACCTGGCTTTAGAAGAGCACTACAGCGAGGGAGTGGTGGTGCTCCTGTTAGTGCACTTACGGACATGCACTCATGTACTGAAAAGCTGCATATTCGAAAAAGAAAAAGTGATGGAGGTCACAAGGCGTGTGTAACGTATTTTCTTTCTCCATGCCATTCCTCCCAGATTAGCTTCCACAGCTTTGGCCAGAAAAAAAGAAAAGAGAATGCAACTGCAGCGTGCGACAAATTTTAAAACTCTGCTCGCACCGGGCGAATTCTGAATATTTTTGCAGGGGTGAATTAATGATGCACTAAGCTCTATTAGTGAATCCATTTTTGACTACTTAAAAAGTGTTGCACAGCCCTTTAAAAGAAAAAAGAAAAGCTGGTTTGCCTGGGTCTGAGTCCTCCAGTTTTTCTTTCAGCCGTGGGAATGCTGGCCTCAGGGCGTCTGGGAATCGAAGGAAAATCTTGTACATGAGTAGCACCGCTTTTTTGCGCAGGTAAGGCTTGGTGGATGTGAGCTGGAACAGGCAATGTTTACATTTAAACAAGTATGAACACAAAATTTAAATATCTTCAACTCAATTGCTTTAAATGAAAACATGGGTGCCGAGAGCCTTAAAAGGCAGTGCTTGGGAATGAATTGAATATATCCCATTCAGCTACAAATTATGATGTGCTGTCTTTGAATATGCCTAATTCACATAAAATTTCAAGGCATGCAATATGCTACATTCCAAGAAAGAAAGTGGAGTAGTGTATTGTTTTGTGTTCTGCCATTAACTAATTTAATTAGCATGCAATTAAATACTTCATCATTCCGCAGTCAGTTATATTGCATTTTGAAGTAAAAAGGATGAAATCATAGGCACGACGTGTGTACAATAGTTTTTGGTTGCATTCATTCCGAGAAAAGTAACAATTTTGGCACCGTGGCTGGAAGCAGCACGTCAAACATCACAGTGCCTTCATCGAAGTGATCAACTACAGCCATATGCAGTAGCACACTGACTGTGCAGAAGGTTCAATTCATTTATAGAACAGCGTATCCTCTTTGGCTACGCAGAGACACAACTAGCATAAATAACAAACACCAACATAGCCACAGCTGCTGAAGGAGATCTTTTTGATTCTGCTATTTCAAAAAGTGTAGTTCTGGTGTTGGTACTGAGAGGTGGCTTTGCAGTCATGTGTTAGCTAAAATTTGCACCTACTAAACTAGAAATGCTTAATAATTGACAGAATTGCATGGAGTAAAATTTCCATGTTTTCAGGCAATGTGCGATGAACACAACTCCGACTTTACGTGAAGACTGCAACTCGCGGAAAGTAGCAACAGGTGTTAATTTGCTGTCACGTCACACGAAGTTCAAGTAGACAACAAGTAAATTGCTGTCTGAATGATCGATGAAAACCTCCACAGCAGGCGTGGTGTGTGTGGTCTGCTCTGGCACAGGTGCACCAGGTACGTCGTCCTTAGCTGAGTGGGTCATTGTTGTCGCGTCCTGCAAGTTGGCCCGTGGTTTCAGAGGGTCGCAAACTTCCTCTGCGGTAGACGTTGAGGGGGATGCTAGACACAGCTGGCAAGATGCGCATAGAGGCAAGCTCGATGGGTGACTGTCATCAGACATCGTGGGCGGAGATGTTTCCATAATCACGTTGCGAACAACAGGTGAAAGGACGTCTGCTCTGGAGTCCAAGGCAAGGCATCTTTCACGGAGTCTGGTTGCACCGAGGTGTCGCGTGCCGTCGATGTCAGAGAAGACGTGCAGGTGGCTGGCATGTGCGACGAACCATCGTACATGGGCTCCCAGGAAACGCACTTCTCAGAGTGGAGGTCAGCATTAGTGAGGGCGTCTTCTACCTCGTCGTCAAGGGTCAGGTGCAGGAATCGATATTCCTGTGACCGGATTGGAGGTAGAAGTTGTCGTAGCCGGGGAAATAAGGTAGCAGTCACGAGAACTTTGCAGGCCGGTTGATACCTTGCTCTGCGACGCCAGGGAAACCTGCCAGGTGCGTGTAAATGGAAGCGGCAGTATGTATGGCCGTAGCAGGCGAGCCCCCCAGTGCAGAGGGCGCCATATGATTGCAGGCTTGTAGTCGATTTGGCAGCAAGATAGATGGCGTGCATAAGCGGCTGGTTCATGACACCATCACGGCGAGAATGGTGTCGAGCCGCATGAGCGATGCCTGGGGTAAGGTCGGGTGGAACGGCAGCATTGGCGGGCAGAGTGCCGGAAGCATGTCAGTTGGTAGCTCGTCGAAGAGCGTGTCTTTCGGGTCACCAGTATGGAGTAGCGGCAAGAGTAGAGACGAGACGTGAGACGACGTCGAAGGTGGCCAACGGGGCCGTGCCAATCTCACCACTTTATTATTCGTCAGGGCTGAAGGGAAGTGGCGGCGACTGCCTGCATCTGTCAAGCCAGGCACATGAACTCGTTCTGTTCTCGCGCAGCTCTAGCATTGCAAGAGCGGCACGAGGGTCACGGCGCAGTGGCTAGAAGTGATAATGATGATGAATGGTAATGATAATGATGCTACAGCTCCCATAGTATTTAATGAATTGCGAACTCTGCTGTTACTTTGCAACAGTGGTCTTGTTCCTGCATGATGTGTTGCGAACTAGCACGCAGAGCCCACCTGGGCACTACCATTTTGACGGCATAGCGTTAAAAAGCTTGTTCCGCAGAAATTCTGGCGTCGTTAGTTGTGAGCAAGAAATCATTTTCGCGTGACTGAAAAATCGAGAGATGCAAATAAAAAAAATCATAAAAGATTCTGGGTATAGGTAGAGATCAAACCCAGGTCATTTGCATGGCAAACAGGTATGGTGATGGAATGGAATTACCATTCTTTGGAATGGTGATGGACACGTGGCAGGTCACTTCTGCAGCCTGAAACACTGGCGGAAGATCAGCTGACGGCACTGCCTGTGCGAATGCTTTGTTTCCCTGAGCACTTTTCATGTTGCACTTAGAGTGGTGAGAAGCTACAGTGTCAATTTTGTCGTTATTCTCAGATGGCAAATAGTCAGTGGCAAGGTCTGTGCCGTATGCTTCGCTACAATGCAGTCCAAGCAAATTTCTGTAGCTGTGCTGTGAGGGCTCACTCATGCGCAAAGCTTTACAAAGGGCTAGAATTTCCGGAATAGGAGCGTTCTGGAGCGGTGATGAACGTGTCATTTCTGAAGGCAATGTGCTGGAAGAGCTTGTCTGAAATGGGCTTGTGAGACATGATGTTTGGAGATGAACTAGGGCAGTTTTATTGAGCTGGCTCCACAGGGGTTTGTTCTCGTCAGGCTCACTTGACTTGGAGAGGCTCTGCTGTTGACCACAAGGTGACAATGCAGACATCGTCAAAATTACTGCATTTGACATCCTTGCCAACAGTTCTTCTTCGCACTACACAACAACGTTGATAGATAGCTGGCAGATGACAGGTAACTTGGGAGGTTTGAAGTGGAGTTCTCTGTAAAACCAATCTTCGCTTAGAATAAGGAAAAGGGTGTTCCGTTTAAGGATGGCTGTTTCGACAATTGCAAATAGTGGTCCAATGGTAAATTTTTAAAAGGCAGATCCTTCAGGCACAATGGCGTTGCCGCCGCCGACGAGCAAAAGTGGTTTGGTCCACGGCTCAACTTTAAGGTTTGATGCTCGACTTGCTGCAACAATTCTGATATTTGAGCAACTATCAGGAAAGGCACTTATTTCCCCCACTCCATTGACTTCAGCAGTAACCATGGCACATCAGAATTTCGATCCGTACAGGGTGTCGACGTGGCCCACAAATGCTGTTGGTGCTTTGGGGAGTCTGCTTGTCGTTAGAAGGGTGCTTCAGTGCAGTACATTTACTTGCAAGGTGATTCTTCTGGTGACAGTTGCAACAAACAGCGTCTCTCAAGTCTTGTCCTTTTCTGTATGCTGGGGAACCATACTTGGCTGAAATTCATTCATACCTTGACTCTTGGTCATCAGATGATAAACTGGCAATGCGAGGAGGCTGCGTCATACGTGTGGTATACTAAAATGTAGATGGTGGAGCATGCTGTAGGGTGTCCACAGTACTGCGAGTTCCAACAGTAGCACTCTGAAACTGAGGCTGTCTCGACTGTCCTACGAATTGTTCTGTCGACTGCAGAGATTGGATTAGGCGCACATGGTCGAGTGTTCTATCCACTTCTGTTACTATGTTGAGAAATTCGTCCACAGTACGAGGTCATTGAACAGCGATGAATATGGCTACCTGGTGATCGCGAATGCCTTGAACTAGGTATTCGATACGTTCCTTGTCAGTAATGGGAAGTGGGCAGCGAAACTTGATCTTGAGTATTCCAAAAGCATACTGCTGCAGGCTCTCTACGGCTTTCTATGTGAGGGCTGTGACCTTCTGTTGCTACTGTATGATTGAAAGTTGCTTGCCGAATCGTTCTTAGAGTCCTGCTTTCCAGATGGTTCAGGTGGGAAGATGACGCCCTGTTGAGGCATGCCTGTCTGCTGCAACTCCACGAAGCTTCCCTTGCGCGATGGCGAAGAAAGTCCTGTCTTCCCATCAAGCAAGCCGCTCGAGCTCTTCTATCCAGTGCTTAAAACTCAGGGTGCCACTTCCGTTGAAAGCAGGCAGCGAAGCTGATAGATCCAGCAGCGTTGTCACATGCACTTGGTTCATATGGCTTCTAGGTGACACCACATACACGGACGTAACGAACAATACACCACATCGCAAAGCTACATTAGTTTCTAAGCATGTCACTGTCATAGAACACACCCTTCAAAGCACCTCCATCTCACACGTACTTCTCGAATTAGTCCCGTGCTCTCGTTCCAGTAGCAGCCTGTACGTGCTTAACGTTTACAGTGCACCTAACGCCAGGAACGATGACTTCGGTCATCTATTTGTACAACTATGTAAGTTCGGTAAACACATAGTTATTGTAGGAGATTTCAATGCCCCCCATCCGGCTTGGGGCTATGCAACAGAAAGGCCTAAAGGCCGACGACTCACACAGGTTCTCGCGTTTCATCGCATGACCCTGCTGACAGAACCTGATCAACCCACTCGCCTAGGTAACAGTGTGAGCAGGGACACATGCCTCGACCTCACAATAGTCAAGGGGGTTAGTCACCATTCCTGGTGCAACCTCATGGTGAATCTAGGCAGTGATCACCATATACTAACTAGTACAGAGCTCTAAGTAGCACTCACGCGTGCCCCAGAGCGCATCATAAAACTAACAAATTGGGATGCATTTAGGCGTAATCGTACAACTACCCATCAGGACTCTCCTTCCCTAGAGGCTTGGATATTACAACTTCAGTCTGATTTTCAAAGAGCTACCAAACTCATCGCTGCGACGACAAAAATGCCAGATATGGACCGGCATCTGCTGCATGTCTGGGATGCCCACAGAGGCTTGACACGGCGGTGGCGGCGACAGAAAAATAACCGAAAACTTCGTCTCCGAATCGCCCAACTAGCTACTGAGGCACATGACTATGCGAACATCCTCACCAGCAACAATTGA